AAAAATATTGTCTTAAATAGTCATTTTTTTGGGAAATATGTAATTAAAAAATAGAAAAATATTTTATTTACGTGTAGAATATTTTATTGTGTAAATGTATGATTGAAAATGAATATGCAGAAAAAATAATTTTAAAAGAATATGAGACAAATAAGAGCTAAATGTAATTAAGCTCTCGTTTGGCCCTCATTATTTGAAGGGAAAATTGTAGTAACGGTTCCTAACCTTTTCAATTTTTATAAATTTTACTCTAACCTTTCATAAATATGCAGTTGGGGTTCATTTGAACGAAAATCGTTCATTTTTTTGTTAGTTAACCAAAAAAATGATTTTAACAACATTATTAATTATTTCTATAAGGGTAAAATGATAACTTTATCTCTTTTCTATACAAAAATAATTAAAATAGTTAAATAAAAATTTAAAAAAATATCATCTTCCACAATTACCCCATCCACATCCAAACCTCTACCTCTACCCCTACCCCAAAACCAACTCTAGCTACCAAAATCCGACCATCACCGTCGAATCCACAATCTTTGCTACCCTCTTCTTCACTACCAAATAGAACTCAAATGAGATATCAAAATTGAAGCTGCCACCACCTCACCTCAAAATCAAAGCCATCCCTCTTTGATTTCCAAAATTTCTTTCCAATTTTGTGCAACAACTAAGCACCAAAGCTTGGAGAAACTGTAACATGAGCGTTCCTTAGGTGGCGACTGCTTCGTGGTCTAACAACCAGTCAACACCAACGACATTGGCAGCTAAGGCCTTTGAGAAAGCTTGGACCAAGAAATAGATTTTGGATTGATAAAGCTTGAGAATTGATTCTACTTATGCTGCAAATGTCTAAGAGAGTAATTCATTTGTTGCTTTTTCAATTGTTGCTATCGGAGTTGCAATTGCTACTTCTAGGTGGAGTAATTTTGATTGTGGGTAGGGGTGGGATTTAGATGGGATGGGATGGGTTTGGAAGATGATTGTTGTTTTTATTTTTATTTAATTATTCTAATTGTTTTTAAATAGGGATAGCAAAAAACCCGACAAACCCGATACCCGCGGGGACCCGCCCCGAATGGGGAG